GTAGGGGGTGATGTTGCTGTAGTCGAACGGTGAGACGGACGTGTAGTTCAGTTTTGGGCACGCGTACGGTGCTGCAGGGATTATATATAGGTGTAGTAGTACCTCTTCGGGCTCTTGTACACCTTTTTCTTGCTACGTGTGCGTGTTCTTTTGATCCTCAGATGGCTCCAGCACTTTCGTGACCACGGGCCGAGAGTCTTTGCTAGATTTTGGCATTTAGCAACTGGCATACGGTTTAATGTGAAGTCAACAACAACAACAACCAAACTGCCTTGTTGAGCCTGTTACCCACAGGGGAGAAATTGTTGTATGCTGTGTAGGAAAACGTAGACATACAGGTAGCCTTTCGCTCACGCTGTGTTACCCACAGGGGAGAAATCGTTGTATGCTGTGTAGGAAAACGTAGACATACTGGTAGCCTTTCGCTCACGCTGTGGATTTATTGCTGCTCTATCTTAGACTTATTTCTGTAGTCTAGATAGAGATGGATTTGTTGTGTGATATTGACAAAAGAAAACAAAATTAATATAATAAAGGAGGACGCTTCCCACACCCGCCTAAAGGAAAAACGAAAGGTTGTTGTTGTTGTTTCTCAAATTATTAGCTCTACAGTCCACAAAAAATGGGAAGCCCGTGGTCTCAAAACCCGGCACGTACGTACATACAATCGACGCCGCGGGGAAACAAAAACAAAAATAGGGTACAAACCACTCGGAAAAAGAAAAGAAAATGATAGAAACGAACAGGTATCGCACCGACCGTTCGAGAAAAGAGCCCTCGGAAACCGATCAAGATAAAACAAAAGCAAGAATAAAGGAGGTCGCTTCTCACGCCCGCCCAACGAAGGGTAACGTACCAGCACCAGGCACTACGCACCAGGGCATGGGAGTAACGGAGCAAACAGGACAAAGAGGCGGCAGATGGGCAGACAGCCAGACGTACAAAAACAAAGGCAACAGCAAAAGCGAGATCAAGGTACCCAACACAGCAGAGTAGGCAGGGAGGTCATGACACGTTTGTTTTTGTTATTACTAGCATCGACCGCGCTAACCGGCTGACCATTGAAAAGACGTCAGTGCCAGCCCGTGCCAGTGCGTGAAAATCAAGGTCCCTGGAAGGGGGGCAAATTCGAAAAGTGCGCAATGCGCCCAATGCGAATGCCAATACGACTCTCTCTTCATATTATTTCACGTATGTAGTCTATACACACATCTCAGCTACACAAATAAATGCCCTCGCTCGAACCTACGAAGCCACTGATGCAAAGAGCGGAGGACAGCAAAAGGGTTAATTCAAGCCCAGCCGAAGCCAGAATATCGTGGTATACTGCATCTCCCAATTTTTTTCATAACATACAGATAGATACACAAGATGGCTACCAAACTGCCTTGAACAACATATTCGCCTGATTGAGAGCGTAGCATCTGATTGAGAGCGAGATTGCGCGATACGCTGTAGCCGGACTACCACTGAGAGGTGGAGCTTGCTGTGTAGCTTGAATTGAAGGGCTAGCCCGTAGCTTCAAGCCGCTACCCTGGTCATCCTGTGGGAGTCTCTCGTTGTGGAGCTACAGCGGGGAGCAGAAGCTACAGCAGAGCCCACCGCCCGACGCGATACCGCCCTGAAACAGTTTGAGCAGAAATAGCCAATCTGGGCAAATCTAGCAACTTGTCTAGCTCCTCGCTGCAGCATCCGATGACGATGACACGCATATGCTCGCGAAGCTGCTGATGAGACCTTCAATTTGCACCGCTTCTTGGAATAGCCCGTCCCCTACTTGCCAAGAAATGGCAAGAGGCGTCTGGACCCGAAATTTCAATTTTTTTGGCTCTCGCTCTCAATCAGATACTTCGCTCTCAATCAGGCGAATATGTTGTTCTTGTTGAGCCTGTTACCCACAGGGGAGTTATCGTCGTATGCTGTCTGGGAAACCGTAGACATACAGTTAGCCTTTCGCTCACGCTATGGATTCATTGCTAATCTATCTTACACTTATTTCTATAGATAGACATGGATTTGTGATATTGAGAAAAAAAAAATAATAACCGTGCACTCCCAAGATCCAACAGTTAGTCATCGTGTCAGCAGCTACATGACTCAAACAAAATAATAGCAAAATCCTATTCGACTCAGGTTAGATATCTCGAACGGGTAGACAAGTCTTTCTGTGAGGTCATGTTTACTTTCTAAAAAATAGCAACACATACATACACTGCCACGGCTCCACCTTTGCCCGCGTCCGAACCTACGAAGCCACTGATGCAAAGAGCGCAGGACAGCAAAATCATTAATTCAAGCCCAGCCGAAGCCAGAACCTCGTGGTATGCTGCGTCTCCCAATTTAATGACCGTACACTCCCAAGATCCAACAGTCATCGTGTCCGCAGCTACATGACTCAAACAAAATAGCAAAATCCCTTTCGACTCAGGTTAGATATTATCTCGAACGGGTAGACTAGTCTTTCTGTGAAGTCATGTTTACTTTCTAAAAAATAGCAACACATACACACACTGCCATGGCTCCACCTTTGCCCGCGTCCGAACCTACGAAGCCACTGATGCA